TATTTTTCAGTATTATGATTATTGTATACACCCTTTGATCAATTTGTAAACTTCAATCGTGTAACCCCTTGCTCTTCATCCTTCTAGAAAATTTACACTGTATTAATTTTTAACTTCTTTATAAGGTAGATATCTAATTCCTAGGATCCTCTGTATGCATTGAAGTGAAATAATGTCCATTCTATAATAAGGAGACCAAAACTAAACTTCATCAACAAAAGATAAAGCCGAAGAAGATTGATCGATTGATTTTATTTATATTCAAGAAGGTAGATAAGAGTTGTGAGAATACATAATATTGGTGTTCTTAAAGTCTTGCAGTCGCCAACGCACAGTCATTCGGGCAGACATTAGATGTCTTATTGCAAACACTTCTAGAAATGAATCCAAGTATCCTATTTGCTTCATTCCATACACTTATGTATTGATTTTTTTGTTCAGACCCCCTACTATTCATACCTACTATATTTTTTTATCTTACCTTATATATTTTAGTCTGAAAACATGAACGTCACTGATTGGAACCCTTTTATTCAACACAAAATTTGGAACTGATGGGGCTTTGCCACTAGGCCAGGTGCTGGGAGTGGCTAGGCATTCAGAGCTACATCAAATATTTTCTAGAAAAGAAGATTTCATCTCCAATTATTATTAAAGTGTTTTGTAGATTCCACAGCACCAGGAATGACAAGAAAGATGTCCAGTCTAATTACACAGTCATAGTCTCATTTAAATTCAAATTGAACAGAACCAAACCTAATCTAATGAAAATACTGTAGTAAATAGCTTTAGTGAGTCTTGAAGATATTAAATATTTTTCATCAAATATATCCCTGAGAATTTTAATGAAACATTTTGTAAATTATAAGGTAACTGAATTTTTAACTACAACTACATATAAATATAAATTTTGATCGCTATTGACTGGTACAGCTGCTAGCCAGTACAAGCTAAGAGTTTACAATGTTACAATAACACAAACTCGTCAAATTCTTTTCTTTCACATTTTGCTTTGCATCCTTCACTTAATAATGACTCCAGCCATATTTCTATTATTCAGTGTTGTACTACTACTACTCTTAGCCCTCAAAGTAAATGAAAAACAGATTTGTTACTCACCATGGATGACAAGTTATGGGCCATTCTATGCAATCCAGTCATGAGCACCACAAAACTTGCTAACCAATAATCATAAGCCAACACTTGAGCCTACCTTACTTTATGCTGCCATTGAAAATGCAGGTTATAAAATATTAAGTACTCAAAACAGAGTACTGGACACACACTTATTTGTATCTTCTCTCCAGCATTTCTACTTAGTTCACTATGACACTATGAATGTTACTCTTTTCTGCTTGCATCAAACATGTTTCACACATCACTTAGCAACCGCCCTTCTATCATTGCTTCTAGTTCCATTTGGAGCATAAACATGTAATTGATGACCACAATTCTGTACAATAAATCATGACCAACACATGGAAGAAGGCAGGCATTCACATGGAAGAAGACTGGCAGACACTTGACGGCTAATTAAAATCACTAACGTGGCATGAGTGTCCCATGTGGCTGGTGGCTCGGCCAGACTGTGGTCGTGGGAAGAGTGCCAGGAGTCAAGAGTGCCTGACACGTCACACACAAAACCTTCAGAGGTGCCAATGACACCCCTTACTACACCCATGCTGTGTCCCTTCACTAACTGAAGATGTTGCTCAGAGCATGAATTAAATTTTACCAGTATTTTAACATCTGGCTTTACTATTAAGCTCATGCTTACAAGATACCGAGATACTGAGCCTCATTTAACTTAATTTCTCAGCAAAACAAAAATGAACTAGGATAGAATTACCAAGGCCGGGGGTGTGACACATATAGTATACAAGTGACAAGAGTTCTTGCCCACATTCTTTGTTTAGAACCATGCAAATTTTTATATGAGATTAAGAAACATTTCATTGATGAAGCGTATAGTGTGCAAATAAATTTCTAGTATGTTACAACCATGACATCTATAATATTCAATCCATATAAGTGTATACAAGAACACTCCATGACTGTTCACTGCCAATTATTTGTATAGGCAAAGATTACATTGTTAGCTGTAATGTAAACTTGTATTGAATACAGTAGCACAATGCCCAATAGATGTATAACAGCTCAATAGTAAGGCAACAAAACTGTGATACTTCACTAATTGGTTGCCAGTATCATCATACCTACTCCTAACAAAGTTTACCAAGTTCAACTACTGCACAATTTGGGTACTGTACTGTATAGGATAATGAATCATCATAACCCAACGAAGTATAGACCCTACCCAAAAAATAAAAAGCACTTAGAGCAAAATTAACACTATATGTACTCATTAGTACATATATGTACTATATTTAGCACATATAGTACAACTTTTAGCTGTACACATTTCTAAAACTAATTTAAATTCCATTTATTTCCAAATGACTTAAAATGGTATTCGTATATGGAAAACAAAACAAAAAATTGATATTTCATACTTTCATAATTAAGACTGATAATATATATTCCTCAACTTTGGATAGATTTAGCTCATTTTTATATTTCTTTTCTTGTAGAATTCAGAAGAAAGCAGAAATAAATATGGGTGATTATGAAAAAAATAGTCCCTCAACTTAATATTTTGTTGAATATTTTTGGCACAATCATGCCATGTGTCAAGATTATTATAATTAATGCATAATAACACAGTTTACCTTTTGATTAGGTTATAAAAGTCAAGAGAATTGTCAAATCTATGAAAAACATCAGCCTATGATCTAAAGATTCAGTAGCATCTTGTGCAACACTGCCAGTCAACAGGTTTGCCATACTAGAAGGAATAAGACTGCATATCACATCAACTTAATATTGCTGGGATACAAAACCAATAATACTATACAGTACTGTACTGTACTTTGTATTCTCTAATACACAGTACAATTACGTGACACAAACACCACAAAACTGTCCTTAGAGAATCCTGTATAACATGCCACACTAACATAAACCTGCCCCCACCTACCTACAGTAGACAGCAGCCACCAGTTCTCACCCACTGCCACCCACCTAGTGTTATCCTCACCCACTGCCACCCACCTAGTGTTATCCTCACCCACTGCCACCCACCTAGTGTTATCCTTACCTACTGCCACCCACCTAGTGTTATCCTCACCCACTGCCACCCACCTGGTGTTATCCTCACCCACTGCCACCCACCTAGTGTTATCCTTACCTACTGCCACCCACCTAGTGTTATCCTCACCCACTGCCACCCACCTAGTGTTATCCTCACCCACTGCCACCCACCTAGTGTTATCCTCACCCACTGCCACCCACCTAGTGTTATCCTCACCTACTGCCACCCACCTAGTGTTATCCTCACCCACTGCCACCCACCTAGTGTTATCCTCACCCACTGCCACCCACCTGGTGTTATCCTCACCCACTGCCACCCACCTAGTGTTATCCTTACCTACTGCCACCCACCTAGTGTTATCCTCACCCACTGCCACCCACCTAGTGTTATCCTCACCCACTGCCACCCACCTAGTGTTATCCTCACCCACTGCCTTCCACTGACAACTACCATAAACAGCACTAAGGCATACTCACTGTGCACAGCACTCGCTGGCTTTCACCCGCTAACAACCTAATGATATACACTATACAATTTTGACAATGGGGTTACCTTACCTTGAGGTTACCTTACCTTGAGGTTACCTTGAGGTGCTTCCGGGGCTAAGCGTCCCCGCGGCCCGGTCGTCGACCAGGCCTCCTGGTTGCCGGACTGATCAACCAGGCTGTTGGACGCGGCTGCTCGCAGCCTGACGTATGAGTCACAGCCTGGTTGATCAGGTATCCTTTGGAGGTGCTTATCCAGTTCTCTCTTGAACACTGTGAGGGGTCTGCCAGTTATGCCCCTTATGTGTAGCGGAAGCCTGTTGAACAGTCTCGGGCCTCTGATGTTGATAGAGTTCTCTCTCAGAGTACCTGTTGCGCCTCTGCTTTTCAACAGGGGTATTCTGCACATCCTGCCATGTCTTCTGGTCTCATGTGATGTTATTTCTGTGTGCAGGTTTGGGACCAGCCCCTCTAATATTTTCCACGTGTAAATTATTATGTACCTCTCCCGCCTGCGCTCAAGAGAGTACAGTTTTAGGCTCTTTAGTCGGTCCCAATAGTTTAGATGTTTTACTAAGTGGATTCTAGCAGTAAAGGCTCTACACGCTCTCCAGGTCAGCAATTTCTCCAGCTTTGAAAGGGGCTGTCATTGTGCAGCAGTACTCCACTCTAGAGAGCACAAGCGTTTTGAAAAGTATGAGAAGACGAGTTTTGTCGGCTTGCTTGTGTGGTTATAAATAGGAGCTGCCTCGTATGGGCCAATAGGCCTTCTGCAGTTACCTTGTTCTCATGTACAATCTGACCTTCCAATAACAGCCTCCACCGGCTCCCACATACACCCATCTACCATGGACCTGAAGAGTTCAAGTACTGTCCAAAGTGAAGCCCATCTTGGTCATTGCTGCCTTTTATAACAACAGCCACCAGAGCTAAGCTTAAGTAACCAAAATAGATCAATGTTTAGCATTTATATCTACTGTCCATGAGGTTACTGATGTATTTTTAAGTCTAGTTACAGTTGTTAAATACTACTGCTTTGGATGGCATCCCCACCTGCCAACTCTTACTATAGACAGCACCCACTACTCCCACCCACTCTCCATACACTCACCCACACAACCACTTCCACCCACTCATCCACACAACCACCCCCACCTCCACCCACACAACCACCCCCCACCCATCTACCGTACTACAAACAGCACCCGCCCACCCACTCACCATACACAGTAACCATCTACTAGACAGCACCCACATAGAGCAACTAGCCTTCATAAACACACACACACAAACATCACCCCATCTATCAAGTACACACAGCACCCACCAGCCCCACCCACTACCCGGGCACGGCACCCACTTACCGTAGACAGCACCCATTGACACCCACGTAGCAGACGGCACCCACCTGCCCTACCCACTCACCGTGCACGGCACCCACTGACACCCACTGACACGTGACATAATGCCTATATTACACCACGTTGCCCCCCAAAGTGGCTGCTGTCCCACGCTGACCTACATAATCCATAATTGGCGTCCTGCGGCCCCTTGCACCACGTGGACGCTGCCTCGCCTCCCCCTCCCTCTCATGCCCCTCACTAATGTGCCATAGCGTCACAAGGCGCCGAGAGGTGGCCGTGGCACTGGCAACAACGAGGTGGCACTTGCAACAACGCGGTGCCAAGCCCAGGAAGGCCGAATGTCAGCCAAGGAATGCGTAGACAGCGGTACCCGCACATTTCCACCCGTCTCCTGAAATATCTACGGTTTAATTTACCTCTAACTACAGATAGGGACAAGCATGGGGCCTTTATGCAGCCGTAGGGTCAGTGCCAACCATACAGGCTCTTGATAACCCTCCAAAACACAGTAATAATGGAGCGAATACCATACCAGCGACAGAACGGAGAAAATTCCAAATACGGTGCGATCACGAGAATTATTATCCTACTTACTATGAATTACATAACATGTCTCTCGGCGTTCTCTCTGCTTATTTGATCTCTTAAAAATTAATGGAGCATTAATGAGGCGGTATATTAGAGTCAAGTACGAGATCAAATAATATTGTCTGTGAATTAAACGCAAACCCGGGGATTTTAACTTTAAATGGCCGTTGCGCATTTGCCAGCGCCGCTGCCATGCTGTTATATGTGCACGATTTTTATTAGGAAAAAAGTATTACTAGAGCATTACAAACATTATTAAAGGCTTTTTAAATACATTTTAAGTTTCATTCTAATGCATATATTTTTAGTTGTATTTGGTAAACACTGAGAAAAATTTAATAAATAAGGGTTAATAGGAAACTTGTTCATGAGGACGCAGGGGTGTCCAGCGGCCTCAACACACTAGAAATATACGCAACACTTACATCAACATATAAAAGTAATCACTGATGCGGGTCTTTGATGAATGTGTGTGATCTTGAGGAGAGTGCATCTGTCACTTAGGGACAAGACGATGTATACATCACTGGCTGCGGTACGACAAGTGTACAATGGCACCCACCGGCCATTCATCAGGTGGGAAACCTCACACCTCAACATTAACTTATGCCGGTTACTCCGCCTAAACTACTACCACAACCCTCCCATATTACAATGTGACTTTATTTCCACGAGGCAGACACGGAAGATTGCGTGCAGTCGTGTGCGTGTGGGCGGTCATGTACGACTGGGCCGTGTGCGTGCAGTCAGCCACCAACACCGCACTTATACATATGTTTGCTGGTATCACAAAATTAATTTTATTTTATTATATATCTTCGTTAAATACAGAGATATTTCAGTTACAATGAAGAATAATATTGGTGTGACGAGTCCAATATAGCCCCAGTAAGAGCGACGTAGGAAGGAGCAAGCAGAGTGCGTCAATATATAGTGACCTTGGGACTGGGGACTCCCGGAAGTGGAAATACTATTTGTTCTATATTCTATAATTACTGCAGTCAGTTAATAAATAACTTTTTGGGCCTTTCCTTAGGACAATAATATGGTTGCTGGTGTCAGAAAATTAATTTAATTTTTTGCGGTTTACAAACTAATTATTCAATTAGGCAAAAAAAAAAGTTTCACTAAGTTTTAAGGCTATATGGTTTGTGAGGTTCATTACCTCACAAACCCTCTTCATGTGCAGAGGGAGACAGAAAACTTATATAGTTTCAATCCGTAAATACACTTCTTTCCTAATTTCCTACGTAATTGGCAGGTGGCTGCAGGTAATGAACTTCACAATGGTGAACATTACAATTGTAAACTATGTGAACGAGAGCTGGGACATATACTCTATATCTTTTATTGTCCTGTTATCAATCATTTTAGACCATATGGTATGAGGTACTTTGAGCTCTGTAACTACTTCACACACTCACAAATATTGGAAGATATTCTTGTGCTGTAGCCAGAGAGTGCTAGTGCAGGCTAATAGATCCCATGTATAACTAACCATCCTGTAAGATGGGGATATCACCTATACTTATAGTTTTTTTTATCTACACTCTGTAATCCTTTATATCATAAGACAACAGCAGCACATTAATTGTTGTGTATACCTAAGTTGTTAATTAAAAAAAAATGGTATTTATGATAAACAAATTCCACTTTTGTTAAACACTAAATATACATCTCTACGACATATTTACCTGTGTTGATAGACAAATGAACATAAATTATTCAGTTTTGGCGACTAACTCGTTCCTACTACAGTACGTCGTATATCTTGTTTACTGGCTGGCCCACTCTCTCAAGGACACTCTTTAAACCGGTTTTATGTGGAAGTTGGAAATACTGCGCGGTTACAGCTGTCGGTTCGCGACTGAAAGGTCCCAGGTTCGATTCTTGAGACAGGACGTACACGTTTGGGTTCATTTCCTTACAACTCTTATTAATGTATTTATTTAATTATATATTTATAGACAAGAAGGTACATTGGGTTTGTGAGAGTACATAAAACTGGTGTTCTTACATTCTTGCAAAGCCACTAACACGCATATATAGTGCTTCTGGCTATGCTTTTGTTCGTCTAGTAGAAAATATATTGGCACCCAGACGTTATAGGCAACTTTCATGTGTTGCGTCATGAAGAAAGATTGTATATACAGTATTATATATTGTTGTCCTAGATGGACCTTGATAAGGCTACACTGGTATATGGGGAACCTTAAGGTGAACTATAAGCACACTGAAACGAGATATATTTATGAGAAAATACCGAAGTTGTAATATATAACCGAACTATCGTGGGCGTTATGACATCCGGCCAGTGGCTCCTGGTGAGGTGGGGAGCTGATAACATGACTGGGCTTGAGACAGGATTGCTTGCTTTACTCCTCGCATTCAAACGAGTATCCAAAGTTGACATGTAATTGTAAATGACTTTGTCATCCTTGACGCATTGGTACTGCATTGGATTTACAGGTTCCTGAAGATGAGAGGAAATGTCAGTGATGTGGAGAAATGCCCGACAGGCTACTGGAACATTGTCTAACACAGTGCAGAGTTATAAACTTAATAAGATTTCAACTAAGCCATTTCCACTGTAGCCAATCGGGGTCGGCTCCAGTGCCACACTTTAAGAAATATCGGCATCTAACCCAACCCCTCCCCAATGTGATGTTCATGAGGTCAAGAGTGAATGTTATCGTGCTGTCCGTAGACTTATTTCAAAGTTTCAGTTATTTATAGTATTTTTCCTGAGGAAACAGAAGAGGGAGGGAGGAGAGAGGGTTGAGAGGGGAGGAATGTTTGAAGAGAAGGAAGGAGAGACGGGGAGAAAGGTTATCAAGTGGTGAAAGAGGGGGCGGAGGAAGGTAGAGAGAGAAGAAGAAAGGGGGATATAGAGAAAGAGACATGAGAAAGGGAAGGAGTGGGGACAGACTGAGATAGGGGAAGAGAGACGTGGGTGCAGCCGGCTACCCAGTTTAGTAATACAATAATCAATGACGGAGTCAGACTCTGTCTCCTACGAATTCCATCCCAAATTAATCTCCGAATGCATAGTACAACTGATGAGTTAGCCAAAGCTTCCCAAAGCATGTGCACTTAAAGAGGGAGTTGATTACCATCTTGGAGTCCCTTTGGACAGCCTGAACTAGGGCAGTAATTTAGCAGACCCGAGACAAAGTGAATTTCACACTAGTTACTGCATGTGCAGAGTGAGCCACGTATCTATGGCTCATCCAATAATAATATGAGGGATAATGACGGTGGTGCGTTCTGCACGAGGGCTTCAGGGATGCTGCCAGCAAGATCTTCAACATCTTTCGCCATGCTGTTGAGGTGGAGATATATTGTCTGGGATATTAGGTATTCCGATAGCATCCTGGCCAAGAGCGAGACTTCCCAAAGTCTCCCTGGCCTAGGGCGAGACTTCCCAAAGTCTCCCTAGCCTAGGGCGAGACTTCCCAAAGTCTCCCTGGCCTAGGGCGAGACTTCCCAAAGTCTCCCTGGCCTAGGGCGAGACTTCCCAAAGTCTTCCTAGCCTAGGGCGAGACTTCCCAAAGTCTTCCTAGCCTAGGGCGAGACTTCCCAAAGTCTCCCTGGCCTAGGGCGAGACTTCCCAAAGTCTTCCTAGCCTAGGGCGAGACTTCCCAAAGTCTTCCTAGCCTAGGGCGAGACTTCCCAAAGTCTCCCTGGCCTAGGGCGAGACTTCCCAAAGTCTCCCTAGCCTAGGGCGAGACTTCCCAAAGTCTCCCTAGCCTAGGGCGAGACTTCCCAAAGTCTCCCTAGCCTAGGGCGAGACTTCCCAAAGTCTCCCTAGCCTAGGGCGAGACTTCCCAACGTCTCCCTAGCCTAGGGCGAGACTTCCCAAAGTCTCCCTAGCCTATCTTGAGGTTATCTTGAGATGATTTCGGGGCTTTTAGTGTCCCCGCGGCCCGGTCCTCGACCAGGCCTCCACCCCCAGGAAGCAGCCCGTGACAGCTGACTAACACCCAGGTACCTATTTTACTGCTAGGTAACAGGGGCATAGGGTGAAAGAAACTCTGCCCATTGTTTCTCGCCGGCGCCCGGGATCGAACCCGGGACCACAGGATCACAAGTCCCGCGTGCTGTCCGCTCGGCCGACCGGCTCCCTAAGCACGAAACTTCACAAAGTCTCCCTGGCCTAGGGCGAGACTTTTTTCTACAGCGTAGAAGCTTTTCATGCAGTACACACAGGAAGCGGAAATAGGCTCCATATCACTTATGATGGAGGCGGCGAGCCATGTCCAGTTGGACTGTGCTTTTAAAGATGTCACGCAACACGGAGGCCATAGGTGCCATAGGAAGGATCTGCAATATATATCTATATAAATAATCGTTATAATTATTGTTAATATTATTATTTTAGTACAGTATTACCCTCCATTACCAGGTGTTTCCAATCTGTTTCTCTGCACTTTGATAATCAGTAAATAGCCTGTTGTAATATAATTTAATACTTTTATTTACAATAAAAATTACCGCTGTTCCCGAAAATCATTTCTGTGCAACACTCGTAATATATTTGTTGAAGTCTATATCATCTACGATTGTAAGGCAGCTCCTGAGAGTGTGTTGACATGCAACATTCACTGAGGGCTTGCACTCTCATAGGTGGGGGCGGGAGGGATGTGGCCAGGTGGGGGCAGGATGGAGGTGGCCAGGTGGGGGCAGGATGGAGGTGGCCAGGTGGGGGCGGGAGGGATGTGGCCAGGTGGGGGCAGGATGGAGGTGGCCAGGTGAGGGCAGGATGGAGGTGGCCAGGTGGGGGCAGGATGGAGGTGGCCAGGTGGGGGCAGGATGGAGGTGGCCAGGTGGGGGCGGGAGGGATGTGGCCAGGTGGGGGCAGGATGGAGGTGGCCAGGTGGGGGCGGGAGGGATGTGGCCAGGTGGGGGCAGGATGGAGGTGGCCAGGTGGGGGCAGGATGGAGGTGGCCAGGTGGGGGCAGGATGGATGTGGCCAGGTGGGGGCAGGATGGAGGTGGCCAGGTGGGGGCAGGATGGAGGTGGCCAGGTGGGGGCGGGAGGGATGTGGCCAGGTGGGGGCAGGATGGAGGTGGCCAGGTGGGGGCAGGATGGAGGTGGCCAGGTGGGGGCAGGATGGAGGTGGCCAGGTGGGGGCGGGAGGGATGTGGCCAGGTGGGGGCAGGATGGAGGTGGCCAGGTGGGGGCAGGATGGAGGTGGCCAGGTGGGGGCGGGAGGGATGTGGCCAGGTGGGGGCAGGATGGAGGTGGCCAGGTGGGGGCAGGATGGAGGTGGCCAGGTGGGGGCGGGAGGGATGTGGCCAGGTGGGGGCAGGATGGAGGTGGCCAGGTGGGGGCGGGAGGGATGTGGCCAGGTGGGGGCAGGATGGAGGTGGCCAGGTGGGGGCAGGATGGAGGTGGCCAGGTGGGGGCGGGAGGGATGTGGCCAGGTGGGGGCAGGATGGAGGTGGCCAGGTGGGGGCAGGATGGAGGTGGCCAGGTGGGGGCGGGAGGGATGTGGCCAGGTGGGGGCAGGATGGAGGTGGCCAGGTGGGGGCAGGATGGAGGTGGCCAGGTGGGGGCAGGATGGAGGTGGCCAGGTGGGGGCAGGATGGAGGTGGCCAGGTGGGGGCAGGATGGAGGTGGCCAGGAGGGGTCAGGATGGAGGTGGTCAGGTGGAGGCAGGATGGAGGTGGCCAGGTGGAGGCAGGATGGATGGCCAGGTGGGGGCAGGATGGAGGTGGCCAGGTGGAGGCAGGATGGATGGCCAGGTGGGGGCAGGATGGAGGTGGCCAGGTGGAGGCAGGATGGAGGTGGTTCCAAACACGAGTCAGTAACGATGACGCGACAATATTCGCAAGATTCAAGTGAATGGTTTTCTTACAGTCACGGTGACTGGTAGTGAGGTACCAGTCTACTGCTGCTACTGTAAGTACCAGTTTACTGCTGCTACTGTAGGTACCAGTCTACTGCTGCTACTGTAGGTACCAGTCTACTGCTGCTACTGTAAGTACCAGTTTACTGCTGCTGCTGTAAGTACCAGTCTACTGCTGCTACTGTAGGTACCAGTCTACTGCTGCTACTGTAAGTACCAGTTTACTGCTGCTACTGTAGGTACCAGTCTACTGCTGCTACTGTAGGTACCAGTCTACTGCTGCTACTGTAGGTACCAGTCTACTGCTGCTACTGTAAGTACCAGTCTACTGCTGCTACTGTAGGTACCAGTTTACTGCTGCTACTGTAGGTACCAGTTTACTGCTGCTACTGTAGGTACCAGTTTACTGCTGCTACTGTAGGTACCAGTTTACTGCTGCTACTGTAGGTACCAGTCTACTGCTGCTACTGTAGGTACCAGTCTACTGCTGCTACTGTAGGTACCAGTCTACTGCTGCTACTGTAGGTACCAGTCTACTGCTGCTACTGTAGGTACCAGTCTACTGCTGCTACTGTAGGTACCAGTCTACTGCTGCTACTGTAGGTACAAGTCTACTCCTATTATAGCTTCAAGGTCATTCGGGTTCAGTACTTGAACCTATTATTGACAGTATCTTTCTGCCGTTTGGCAACAGGAAGGACGTGTGGGGTCCACTACCATCCACAGGAAGGGTGTGGGGTCCACTACCATCCACAGGAAGGGTGTGGGGTCCACTACCATCCACAGGAAGGGTGTGGGGTCCACTACCATCCACAGGAAGGGTGTGGGGTCCACTACCATCCTTAGGAAAGGTGTGGGGTCCACTACCATCCACAGGAAAGGTGTGGGGTCCACTACCATCCACAGGAAAGGTGTGGGGTCCACTACCATCCACAGGAAAGGTGTGGGGTCCACTACCATCCACAGGAATGGTGTGGGGTCCACTACCATCCACAGGAAGGATGTGGGGTCCACTACCATCCACAGGAATGGTGTGGGGTCCACTACCATCCACAGGAAGGATGTGGGGTCCACTACCATCCACAGGATGGATGTGAGGTGTTACGTATTCCTAGTTGGATACGTATATAAATTCATGATAAAACTTATTAAGTTCAGTATATATATATATTTGAAATGTATCATAGGTCTTGGCAACATCAGTTGAACAGGAGCGGGTTGCTCTAGTCACACGTCTAATACCTGTTAGTTTCGTGGACCTATTTAGTTATGGGAGTTCCAGATGTCACCTTTTAATATTCACATATTTGTTAATTTCGTGTAATTAAGCATGTGACATACATAATACGAAGCGTGCGAACGAATATATACGATGTCGCGGCTTTCCTCAAGAAGCAATAAAGAGGCATACGCGGTGCCGTCGTTAAGCAGCATTGATTGTACGCGGTGTAGTCAATGGAGAGCTGGCATTCTGGGTCACACAGCAGACGCCATTGCCATAGAAATGGTAGTGACGGAGAGACGATTATCAGGGTGGTAAGGTGGCAGAGCTGTGTCAGTCATACCCAGCAGGAGCTGTGGGGCCATCAGGGCACAGTTACTGGTCGCCTACTGCACCAGTCTTTGGACAAGTAATTAAGAATGAAGTTTCTATACAACAGAGAAAAAAGGTTGGATCCAAGGATCTTGGAATAGTGTCGCTCGTTCACTGGGTACTTCGTCCTCAGTGGTGTTCCATTATTTTAACAAGGTATACCACTGATATAAGCAAGGAAATTGAGTAGTTGTGGTTTTACCCACGACGGTGCAGGGACTCTTCCCCCCCCCCCCCCCCCCGCAAATAGCGGGAGAGGCTGATTTAGTTCCCTTTGTGGGTTATTTCCATCTACACAGGGCGGCCCCTCGATGGTGACCTGCGACGTGGACAGATGACCCAAATGACTCGCAGTGGGTGCTTTAGATGCACTGCACTCCAGAATTAATCAAGAACAGCTGGCGAAGCAGCAGCCACCCTTAAACCATCCGGGAAAGGTGCACAAATGCACCCATCTACAAGGCAGTATATTTACAACAAGGCAGTATAGTTGCAACATTAAGAAAGTATAGATGCAACAAGGCAGTACAGCTACATGACAGTATATTCACAGCAAGACAGTATAGCTACAAGACAGCATAGCTACAACAAGACAGTATAGTCACAGCAAGACAGTATAGCTACAACAAGACAGTATAGCTACAACAAGACAGAATAGCTACAACAAGACAGTATAGCTACAACAAGACAGTATAGCTACAACAAGACAGTATAGCTACAACAAGACAGTATAGCTACAACAAGACAGTATAGCTACAAGACAGTATAGCTACAAGACAGTATAGCTACAAGACAGTATAGCTACAAGACAGTATAGCTACAACAAGACAGTATAGCTACAACAAGACAGTATAGCTACAAGACAGTATAGCTACAAGACAGTATAGCTACAACAAGACAGTATAGCTATAGCTACAACAAGACAGTATAGCTACAACAAGACAGTATAGCTACAACAAGACAGTATAGCTACAACAAGACAGTATAGCTACAAGACAGTATAGCTACAAGACAGTATAGACAGTATAGCTACAACAAGACAGTATAGCTACAACAAGACAGTATAGCTACAACAAGACAGTATAGCTATAGCTACAAAGACAGTATAGCAAGACACAACAACAACAAGACAGTATAGACAGTATAGCTACAAGACAGTATAGCTAGCTACAAGCTACAACAAGACAGTATAGACAGACAGTATAGCTACAAGACAGTATAGCTACAACAAGACAGTATAGCTACAGTATAGCTACAACAAGACAGTATAGCTACAACAAGACAGTATAGCTACAACAAGACAGTATAGCTACAACAAGACAGTATAGCTACAACAAGACAGTATAGCTACAAGACAGTATAGCTACAACAAGACAGTATAGCTACAACAAGACAGTATAGCTACAACAAGACAGTATAGCTACAACAAGACAGTATAGCTACAACAAGACAGTATAGCTACAACAAGACAGTATAGCTACAACAAGACAGTATAGCTACAACAAGACAGTATAGCTACAACAAGTATAGCTACAACAAGACAGTATAGCTACAACAAGACAGTATAGCTACAACAAGACAGTATAGCTACAACAAGACAGTATAGCTACAACAAGACAGTATAGCTACAACAAGACAGTATAGCTACAACAAGACAGTATAGCTACAACAAGACAGTATAGCTACAAGACAGCATAGCTACAACAAGACAGTATAGCTACAACAAGACAGTATAGCTACAACAAGACAGTATAGTCACAACAAGACAGTATAGCTACAACAAGACAGTATAGCTACAACAAGACAGTATAGTCACAACAAGACAGTATAGCTACAACAAGACAGTATAGCTACAACAAGACAGTATAGCTACAACAAGACAGTATAGCTACAACAAGACAGTATAGCTACAAGACAGTATAGCTACAGACAGTATAGCTACAACAAGACAGTATAGCTACAACAAGACAGTATAGCTACAAGACAGTATAGCTACAACAAGACAGTATAGCTACAACAAGACAGTATAGCTACAACAAGACAGTATAGCTACAAGACAGTATAGCTACAACAAGACAGTATAGCTACAACAAGACAGTATAGCTACAAGACAGTATAGCTACAACAAGACAGTATAGCTACAACAAGACAGTATAGCTACAACAAGACAGTATAGCTACAACAAGACAGTATAGCTACAACAAGACAGTATAGCTACAACAAGACAGTATAGCTACAACAAGACAGTATAGCTACAAGACAGTATAGCTACAACAAGACAGTATAGCTACAAACAAGACAGTAGCTACAACAAGACAGTATAGCTACAAGACAGTATAGCTACAACAAGACAGTATAGCTATAGCTACAACAAGACAGTATAGCTACAACAAGACAGTATAGCTACAACAAGACAGTATAGCTACAACAAGACAGTATAGCTACAACAAGACAGCATAGCTACAACAAGACAGTATAGCTACAACAAGACAGTATAGCTACAACAAGACAGTATAGCTACAACAAGACAGTATAGTCACAACAAGACAGTATAGCTACAACAAGACAGTATAGCTACAAGACAGTATAGCTACAACAAGACAGTATAGCTACAACAAGACAGTATAGCTACAACAAGACAGTATAGCTACAACAAGACAGTATAGCTACAACAAGACAGTATAGCTACAACAAGACAGTATAGCTACAAGACAGTATAGCTACAACAAGACAGTATAGCTACAACAAGACAGCATAGCTACAACAAGACAACATAGCTCCATCAAAAAGCAAATATTAGCAGCGTAGAGGATCTTCGTGTTAGGCTATATAATACATGTTCAAGAAATGTGTAAATACTTGCTATAAATGGATAGCGAGTTTAACTGTATAGATATAGAGGTTGGAACATTAGAAAAAAATTACCTACTTACCTGCAAATTATTTCCTAAATAAAGTGATGTGGAAAAAGAAATCTGAGGATTTTCGGGCGTTTTCTAGCTGTTGACATCTGTCTGTACTTCTCTTGGTAACATCAATAATTTATTAATAAGAAAATAAATAAATTATAATAACTAAGAGTATACAGGGACACATTAGGTTGAGTTTTCGATTAATTTCATAAAATTAGTTTTCCTAATAATGCAATGATTATTTTCTATGTGTACTGCATATAACTCCAAACCGAAATCTGGCACTTAATAATTTATAACCTTGATGGGATATAAATGACTGGGCGCGTTTTATATCAGCTAATGCATATGTTCACCTGACAGTAGGTCCCCGGGAGTTAGCTTAATATAGGAGCAAAACCCACACTTGTTTATTTGAAATTACATCAATTTCACAAATACACAGGTGTGGGTTTTTATCCTATTATTATTATTATTATTATTATTATTATTATTATTATTATTATTATTATTATTATTATTATTATTATTATTATTATGTACAACTGAGTATATGCTAGAAAATATTTATGTTATATGAACGGAAGGGCCAACACATGTGATAAGCAAGTGTTTGGCCGTGAACAGGTGTGATGGTGTTGAGCAGGTGTTATTACGAGTGGTGAATAAGGGGGTCGGGGGAAGAGGGTCGTCAGCCTGCATGCCGGCACAGGGGCACCAGACATAGGGACGGGCCGCCATAAAGCTGTCATTATCATTTGCTGCTTATACAGATGCGGATTATTGTACAGATATAGGAAGGGGTTCCCAATATTAATTCACTAATATTGGCATAACAACCACGTATGTTCCGTTGAAGATTGAACATTGCGAAGAACAATAAACATATAGGTAAAGAATCAAGATACAATACTAATGGAGAGCAGAATCAAGTTAATTTAAATTAGGGTTGGAGAGGGGGGGATGCAGAGGTGAAGCCAGCAAGGAAGGATGTGTGAACAGTGATACAGTATGCAGTAGGGGTGCAGAAACCAAGTAAGATATTTCACAGGAGAAAGCACTGAGGGACGGACTTATCAAGGGAAAGCGCCAGGCCATTACGACACTTGGGAGGGGTCAGGATAAGAATTTTTGATGGGACGGGGGTAAAGGAATGGTATCCAACCACTTGGACGGTCGGGGATTGAACGCCGACCTGCATGAAGCTAGACCGTCGCTCTATTTTTTATCCTGGAAGGGAAGGAGATTTACTCTCCTGTGGAGTGTTAGAGACATGTTCGTTTGCTTGGAAAATGTGGGAGATCTTGATTTATATCACTACATTGTGATAGTATCTGGGTTGTAGTAGGATGGAGATTAGTGAATTTAAAGATTGAGCTTCATGTATGTTCTGTAAGAAGTATTTAGTTATCGTTAGATAATATAGACAATTTGTCAACTGGAATCTGCAATACTAGAAAGTGAGTACACTGCCAGGTGTATGAGTATTTTGTTCACAAAGAAATCACACTAACGTGATATATCATTGAGAAAATCAATTGGAGTAACGAAATAACTGGAACCAGTGATCCGGTAACTCCCAGCCACGCACCTTACCGCTGTACGGTACCATGGTAAACGTTATACATCCCGAGATTCCACTGAATCCACAAGACGTCTGGAGAACCCCTACTGAAGCTAGTCCAAGTTTTTACATATAACCCCATGCACTCTGGTATTGTGGGAGTTCGTCACCCATATACTCCCTTTAAATACACAAAGAAATCATGCTAACATAATATATCAACAAGAAAATCATTGATTTCCTCGTTAATATGTCCTGCCCAACCACTTGGGCAGCATGGTAGAGCGACGGTCTCGCTTCATGCAGGTCGGCGTTCAATCCCCGACTGTCTAAGTGGTTGGGCACCATTCCTTCCCCCCTTCCCCTGGGAGCCGGTCGGCCGAGCAGACAGCACACTGGACTTGTGATCCTGTGGTCCCGGGTTCGATCTCGGGCGCCAGCGAGAAACAATGGGCAGAGTTTCTTTCACCCTATGCCCCTGTTACCTAGCAGTAAAATAGGTACCTGGGTGTTAGTC